TTTGTACTGTGAAGTCTTTCACGATGCTGATAAAAGAAAGGAGACGTACACAAATGGAGAGATGTGTCATGTTTGTGGATTGCAAGATTCACCCCACTGAAGATGTCACTTATCCCCTAACCAATACACAGATTTAGTGTGATTAATATGAAAGTCTGAAAAAGACATAAACAAGATTATTATAAAATTTATATAGAAGGCAAAGGGCCTGTAATGGCTAAGATAATTTTGAAAAGGCTGAGTAAAGCGAACAGATTACTGCTGACCCAAGTTTAAGATTTATTATATAGCTTAAATAAATGAATGTATGTATAGACAGTGACTTGTTTAGAGAAAAATCCACTTATTCGTTCACTCAACAAATACTTGCAGAGCTCTGACTACAGCTCAGTCTTGCAGGTCACAGGTGGGAATAAAACAAAGAAAAGTTCTCGCCCTCACAGTAAATAACCGACAGGTGCCACATGGGTATGGCAAAAGCTAGGCAAGGTGCACGTGAATTTCTGGAGTTTGGGAGGGAGAGGCTTCAGCCTGGGATTGGAGCCAGTGCGCCCAGAGAAGGAGCAAGAGGCACTGGGCATGATGATTTGGAGGCACCAGAAGGTGGCCCACACCCCAGGAACGTGTCAGCCAACCCCTCATCCCAGCATCGGACCTTCTCTGTCTTGTAACAACTACAGAACAAGGACAAGTTGCCCCCATTACCCCAGTCGAGTGCTCCTATGAGACCTTTCACAAGCCAAAATGGTGTGAACTGAAGAAGCAATGACCAGTGGGAAGGGAGGGGAGGAAACACTGCAAAACTCAAAAGAAAAGAGAAGAAGCGATGGCCATTCCTTGATACGGGAAATTTTTGAGCTTCTCCAGACCCAGAAGATAACCTACCAAACCATATCAAATAGCACATAAACCCTAAAATAACACTAACATGCAGTGTCCGCAGACACAGCTCACAGCCATGGCGGCTGGGGGAGGTGCTGAGTGTGGTTCCCGGGGAAAGAGCTTGGTGGCGCCACTCACTGCCCGAGGTGTGCACTGCCCCTGGAACCGCTGCTGCTAAGCCAGCACTGAATGGCAGTTTCGATATTCGCCTTTCTTCATAAAAGTGAAAATCTTCTTTGAATTTTAGGATAGTGAACACGGGTACTAATGTAGGTCCTTCACAAGAGTGAGATGGCGGTAAGTGAACTCTTAAAGCGTGGGAGATACCCGCACTGCTTTCAGCCGCTGCTGCCACTAACTTTGCAGACGACCGTGGGCAGGTTGCTCTGTCTGGCTGTCTCCCGGCTTTCCCATCTGTAAAATGAGAGCCCACATAGCGCTGACATCCTGAAGGTCACATGGTGCTGTGTGGACTCGTGCTGGACAGTCCAGTTAGGGGCCAAAGAGTGCCTGCACTGAGTTTTAGAAACAGCTGCCCTCCAGAACAAACACACACCCAGCCAAGACCAACCTCTCCCCTTCCCCAGCTCCACCGACTCGTTCCTCCTGGGAGGCACTCAGAACACGCAGAGGATGGCCAGGCCCAAGAGAACCAAGTTCTTCTCTTTGCTGACGGAGCCGACTTAGACAGATCCAGTCCCCAAGACAAACGGTGCACTTGCTGGTCTGCTAACCAGAAGTTAGGGGGCTAGTGTGTACCCAGAGGCACCTGGGGAGAAGGGCTTAGCGGTCTCCTTCAGACAAGCGGGCCCCTGAAAGCCCTACGGGGCACAGTTTTACTGTACCACCCAAGGGGGAGCCGTGAGTCAGAGTCCACAGCAACTGGCTGCCTGGCCTCTCCAATGTGCCAGGCCCTGCTAGTAGGTGGTTAGCTACGTCCGTTAACGGCTGCAACAGTGAAAATAGATAGCCATGTTTTAAATCCATAGAGACTCGAGAGTGGGACAAGAGGGGTGCACTCTGCACGCAGGCAGGAGCACGTGAGAATTCCCGGCACCCCTCCCCATCACTCAGGATCTGGTGGTTTTCTGAAGGGCAGCAGGGTGTGAGTAGCCAGGCATCCACGTGAGCCATGTCTTCCTTTTCGCCTTTGGTCTGGCTCAGTGGTTCCCAAACCAAGTACTCTAGAACACTCAGTGTCCTGCGCAATTTAGGAGATTTTCAGGATGACTTTGTAAACATTTCCCTTTTGCCCTGAGCACTGAAGTTCGAAGCCCGTGGCACACCCACACAGGCTGTGACTGCACCGCGTTTCCCTTGGAATGTCTGGCCAGCACACTCGCTTCATGCTCACACTCCCCCCGGGCTTCTGTGCATTTAAATCTCACGCACCACTTCATGGTTCTTTGCCAAGCTCAGCAAGACATCACCAATAAAGCCTGGACCAACTGAAGAAAGGGCACGGGCAGAATGTCCAGCTCTGGGCCCCATTCCCCCAGCCCACACCCCTCCCTGTCCCACCTGCTCACATTGATACCCTGCCCTTCCCACCAGGCCCCTCAAGCCAGAGTGGGTGTGCCCAGGAGGCAGGCAGGGCAGAAAATCATAAGTGATCAAACAGTTCAGTCTGGGATTTCTCCCCTGCTCTCTAAAGTCAGCAGAATTAGGATCTGGGGGCAACTCCCAGGAATCAGCTATGTGTTTCTGGGGTCTAAGATAGAGCAGGCTATGGGGAGAGGGGCAAGGCATGGTGGACAGGCTGTGGGGAGAAGGACAGGCCATGGGGAGGGGGACAGACCATGTGGGGCAGGCCATGGGGAGGTGGATAG